TGACCGCTATATAGCTGGATCATTGTTGAGTGCGACGTTAAACAACAAACATTACATTAGTGTTAAAGTCATCGTAGAGGCATAGTTATTTATTGTGGTTAAAGCGTTGGCCCGTCACGCCGAAGACCCGGGTTCGAATCCCCACATGGGTACAATGTGTGAAGCCCATTTCTGGTGTCCCCCCGCCGTGATGTTGCTGGAATATTGCTAAAAGCGGCGTAAAACCAAACTCAGTCAGTCAGTCAGTATTTCCAAGTTCACAAATCACACAAAATACCTCGTATCTGAAGGTACTGTGCTCTGACTGACTAATGCCAAAATATAAATGTATAAGGAATGCCAACTTTCCCAACGAATGGTCAAGTGCAATGTAATATCCACTGAGATATATACTGGAAAAGCAAACTAGATGGAAATGTCCATCATAACTTGTACCATAACCATATTTGGCCTTACTTAACTGGAAGGAGATGTACAAAATACAGAAATTGAAATTAAACCATTTTATATATTATCGAGAAACTTAATATCTCTTGGCAAGTTTGAAAGATCTTGCAAATTTTTAAATTGATATAGCTAAGTTTAGAAATATTACATGTATTCGTGTTCTGAGAAAATATAAGATATTTTGCTATCAATGATTATCTGATACGATCATTATAAACTATGTTGCGACTATAAATCTATCTAGTCAACATTAACATACCTTGCGGAACTCAAAGAAACTTTTAACGAAAAATATTTCAAACTGTCTGGCAAACTTAAAATATTGCACAGAAGAACAAAGTACACTAACTCACGAATGTTCTTGTGACATTTAGAAATGATATCTCAATGTGGGTAAAACGATATGTCACCTTATCTTAAATGATTTTGAAATAATATATTTCGATATTTTGAAACGCCAACGTCCTATTTTCAGTACATGCATACCATGAAATTGACGTATTTAGGGCATTTGTTGACATGACAAACAAAGTGTATCTGTGAGGGATCATTATCTGAATAAGATCCAAAGTCGCTGCTCTCTTTTTCTTCTTTTTTTCTTTCTTTTTAACTTAATGAAACACATCGATATACAAATCAACTCATTTGGCAATATGACCTACTCCTCAGTTTACTTAAGTTTGTATTTTGGCCCTTACCTTTCCATTAATTAGTGAGTGAGTGAATATGTATTTATACCGCTTTTAGCAATATTCCAGCAATATCACGGCGTGGTACATCAGAAATGGCCTGCACACAATGTCATTGTACCCATGTGGGGAATCGAACCGGGTCTTCGGCGTGACGAGCAAACGCTTTAACCACCAGACTACACCACCGCCCCTATTAATTAGTCAGTTCAGGTGATATAATTCATTGCATTAATAGTATTAATAATACATCATTCTTTCTACAAATGTATAACCATTCAACAGAATATGCTGTATGTGTTTAAACAAAAGTACTAAATACATAATTTTCATAATACAAATATGAAATCCTAATAAGATTAATAAGAATTAATATATACAAAAACTGTGTCCATTGTACGATTCCGACAATATCGCAACCATGTGTTTTAATAATAATGCTGAATATGATGTCCTTCATATCCTGCGCACTATCAGGTTATCATTATCCCGGATAACCCAAGCTGCCTGTACGTGGGGCGCTAGAAGGTAAATAGCCACATGTCATATCCCGCCGGGTGCCCATTTGCACCTGGGTGAACAGGGGAAATTTTGAACAAACTCATTTGCCTAAGGTGAGACCACATGTATCACACATGTGCTTCGTTGTGGGGCAGGACTGAAGTCCTAGAAACCCTCAAGAGTCAAGCTGCCAAATACGGTCACCCATCCAAGCACTCTCCACACCCAGCGTTGCTTAACTTCAACTCATCAACTTTATGGACACCACCATTTCTAGACTCATCAAATAGTGATGGCAGCGGGTGTTCTTAAAAGCACGATCGAATCTTTCCCAACACAAACACATGCAAAGGCAAGTCAATTGTTCAATTGAAACTCATGGGACCATATGATACAATTTAAGTCATTGAACACTGAATCGCACTGAACATTTTTGCAACTGATGTGTCAAATTTGTGGCAACGATAACACATCTGTTTCTGAAAGCCGTGCATTATGACACAAAATGATATCGCCTGTCGTGATATTGTTCTAATATTGCTAAAACCATACTCTGCCATAGTCCCTTCTGTACAAGATGCATTGTTCTGTGGGAATTCGATGAACATTACCTATCTCTTAGATTTCAGTTCCATAACCAAGGACTGGAATTTGCACAGATGGCTCTTTAAAAAGTTATCTAACGATGCTTATCTGGGGATGACAATAGAGCGCAATGGGTGATTCAATCGTTCAGACAATGTGTTTGCGCTGTAACAGACAGCTGTCGCACGTTTTCGTCGAAACGTGGGAAATGAAATATTACTTCCATGGAAATTGTTGGCTGGAGAGATGGGTTGATTCTCACAAGACCAGTATGGATGGGGCGCATTGTGCGGTCTCCTTTGGAAAAGGGAGAAAAAGTGTGCACTCCTCAAACGAACTTGCTGACAAATCCACAGGGGTTTGTAACGCTTAAAACTGTCATCGAGGTATATACTGTTACTATCGGGGTCTTAACATTTTATATAGTGTTAGTGTTAAAACCCGTCAGTGACATTATAAAGCCCGTTTTATACAGTGCTAAAACCCCGTCAGTGACATTATATATGTCGATGACAGTTTTAAGCGTCACCAGCCCCTTCTAAATAGTGTTAAGACCCAGTCCGTCTGTCATACAGACCCTGAAACAAATATATCCAAGAAAGCCCATGCAAGTCTAGATTCTGTGGCAAGTTAGATTTCCACAGTTTCAATGAAGAAAGTTTCTGGCCTCCATTTCATAATATTTTATGATAGGGATTGTATTTTTCTGTAATATATGTTCATTTCAGAGACTAGTTGTTAGTCTAAGGCCCCGTCAGTGACAGTACATACCTCGATGACAGTTTTAAGCGTTACAAGCCCCTATGGGCAATCTTGTTTAATGATGCTCTGAATTTTAGAACTGTAACGTTTCCATTTGTATCTCGACAAGTAAAAATGTTTTCGAGGAAATGGCATATCCTTTCTTCAGATGTACGGAGAGTTAATAGAGATTCGGAAGATGAACACCCCTTCGTTTGATTTTTTGCAGCAATTTACTGAGGCTCCTAAATCGATTTTAGCGATAAAACAATCGTTGTTTCAAAAAGTTTAGATATGCTCAGGACTAAGTGGTACTTAGGTGGCTTTGTTAGGATGTTCGTTTGCTAGCAAAACACTTAATCACGTCTATGGAAGCTTGGCGCTGTCATTCTAGTGAAAGAAGTTAATACAGCGGAAAATGAACAGTAACATCTCCATCAACTTATCCAAACGGTTTATATGATTTATACCAATTGGTTTACTGATGGCCCAGTTTTACTGTGTATTTGCGCGGAACGTTTAAACTTGGCAAACGCCCTCGATTATAACAGAAATAAACATTGAAACACATGGTCATAATATTCTATTCGGAAAAGAAATTCTAATCTCCATGATTGTCGTTTGTTCAGAAAGTGTCCAAACAAAATTAAATCCATATTTGCATGGTAATGAGTTGGAAACACGTGAATGAACATCCCTTGCAACAAAAGTTTGACCTTTACATACAAAGAACCTTCATTTACTGCGATAAACAAAACCTTTTGACTTGACATTTTCTTGATGTTAAGGGTTTTTTTGCCATAAGACTTCAAAAACCTGTATTGGAATACTGAGTGGCATGTCTGAATTCCTCCATAAATCTGAACAGTGCAATGTCTTATGGAGATCATGATGAAATAAATAAACTGATGCAGTCAGGCAAGAGTAAAACAAAACACATCATATAATACAGACATTTTCACATCTTGTCAGCACAAGGGCTTATTTCAAGTTATATGTCAGGTTAATGTGGGGGGCAAGCCGGAAGTTGATGCATGTCTCTGACCTCTACCTCACACCAGGGATACTCTACATCATATATAGTCTCCCTGCTCACACAAACCAAGGTTCATAATCTGCGCATATAATGGAAACGAACCTATGATCACTGCCAACAGAATGAAACTCTGTATATACTACTTTTGCTGTTTCCTGTGACCGACTAGTGAGTGAGTTTAGTTTTACACCACTTTTAGCAATAAACGGCTGGGGACACCAGAAATGGGCTTCACACATTGTACCCATGTGGGGAATCAAACCCAGGTCTTCGGCACGACGAGTGAACACTTTAACCATTAGACTCAATCACCCACTAGTGTACACTAGTTCAATTTATTGGTCATCTTGACTGAGTAAACCTTCAAAAACACTCTGGGGCGGTGGGGTAGCCTAGTGGTTAAAGCGTTGGCTCGTCACGCCGAAGACCCGTGTTTGAATCCCCACATGGGTACAATGTGTGAAGCCCATTTCTGGTGTCCCCCGCCGTGATGTTGCTGGAATATTGCTAAAAGCGGCATAAAAACAAACTCAGTCAGTCAGTCAAAACACTCTTGTATCAATTCTTTTCGGTGACAAGTGTCCACACAGAACACCCTGATTGGCAATGCAATTTCATACAATACATCAATTCAGTTTTAGAGAAACTGATTGATGGTAGTTAACTTTGTTCAATGTTGATTTACATTTTGTGCAAAGCAAAAGCATGCCAAACTCTGATTACAAGCTTTGGTTCAGTCAGATAGTAGCCGGTCAGCAAACAATGAGCAGAAATTTAAAGAAATACAGGGAGCAAAGGACTGGAAGGGTTTAAATTTCTGAGTAAAATCCCCCACACTAGACAAATTTGCAGACAATACAAATAGTTAGTGGAGAGTCAAAAGTTATCTCCCTTGCATTAATTCACACTATTCATTATCAAACATATAAGCAGTATTTCAGCACCAATCCCAACAATACAGGTTAATATAATATTGATAATATTAAACACAACGCTGATAATATGATAAAAAAATAATTTATTTATACATTATACACAAATAACAACTTTCAAACACTCATAGGAAAGAACAATATTCCTAATTTGTCTATCGTCAGTACTAAAGTCAGTTCCTGTAGGTTCATATTTCTTCACTCAAATAATAGTTGACATCAACACAGGTGTCCGATGGTAAAGTTTCTTGTCTTCTACTCAAAGAATGCTTGAGGGTCACAATGTTCAATGGTAAAAGTTCTTTGCCTTCAACTCTATCATTTAGACAACATCGTTTGTCTCATGGGATAGTTTCTTTCCTTCTACTCACATGTTGAAGACGAATCAGGTAAGAGTTCGTTGACTTCGACACAGAAAGTGGTTGAAGACAACCCAGGTGTCCAGAGAAGATGATTTCTTCTACCAAAATAATGGCTGAAGACAACCCAGGTGTCCAGAGAAGATGATTTCTTCTACCAAAATAATGGCTGAAGACAACCCAGGTGTCCAGAGAAGATGATTTCTTCTACCAAAATAATGGCTGAGGACAACACGGGTGTCTGACGGAAGAAATCCTTACCTCCTGCTCAAACAATGGTTCAAGACAATACATGCGTCCACACTGTTTTTCCTTCTACTCAGTACACACTGAGATAATACTGATGAACAAGTTATGATCAAGTTATGAACTGATGGCTGGCATGAAGTACTGCAGCGACACATCTTCATGCATCATGAAGATGTGAACTATCCTCTTGTCAACAATATCTGTAAAATGGAAACATGGGCAATGAGAGCGAATTATTTAATCTGAGGGATAGCATTAAACATACTACAAAGCAGAATCATGGAAAATGACGTAACAAAAAAAGTTTACAATATTTTGTAAACTGGTCAGCACAGAAAGAGAAGGGGTTACTTTTAACATTGTTTTGAGTGAATTTAGTTTAACACCGCTTTTAGCAATATTCCAGCAATATCGTGGCGAGACACACCAGAAATGGACTTCACACAGTGTACCCATGTGGGGAATCGAACCCACATCCTCAGCGTGACGAGCGAACGCTTTAACCACTAGGCTACCCCAACGCCCCAACATTGCTTTGAATAGTATCCAAGCTATATTATGGCATGTCAGGTTGGAAAGTGAGTGAGTGAGTGAGCTTGGTTTTATGCCGCTTTTAGCAATATTCCAGCAATATCACGGCGGGGAACACCATAAATGGGCCTCACACATTGTACCCATGTGGGGAATCGAACCCGGGTCTTCGGCATGACGAGCGAACCCTTTAACCACTAGGCTACCCCACTGCCCCAGGTTGGAAAGCAATAACTTATGGATGTCTCAGCAAAATAATGTTGCTGACAAACCTAGAAACTGAATCCGAGTGAACCAGAATTGGAACATGGATCATAAGCTTCTGGCATGCCCAAGGGAAGCAACTCTGCACAGTGAATAATGGTGACTTAAGATGACAGTACCAAAGTGCCCCCAGGCAGTACATAAAGTTTAAAAAAGCGAAAGGTTAAACTAAGGTACATTCCGCTGCAATACTGCTACAGAATAACAAAAAGCAAACACAAAAGGAATACGCAACAAAGTATATAGTTTCAATAAGACTTCCAGAACACTCCAAGAGTCAAACCTATAGCTGTAACGTTTTGAACAAATTATTTACACTTACTGCATATGACCCTCGTTGGGTTCACCTGCTGTCCTGACAGGAACTGGGCAAACCTACGGATGTCGATTTTTGCTTCAGAAAAGTCTCTCTCATTCCTATCTTGCAGACTTCTCTGAGATGCATTCTCAACATCTCTTCCTGGAACAAGCACAAACATGGAAAGAAATGGAAGTATCACCACTGAGTGAGTGAGTGATTGAGTATGATATTACGCCACATTTAGCAATATTCCAGCAATATCACAGCAGGGGACACCAGAAATGGGCTTCACACATTGTGTCCATGTGGGGAATCAACACATAGATAGATAGATGAGCAAATGCTTTAACTATCATGCTACCCCATCACCCCTTCACCACTGAGACAAAACTTATTGTGTATTAACTTATGGGAGGATATGAAGTAATTCATAGGTGAAAAACATGATCATACTGCTTAATTTACTGACTGACTGACTGAGTTTTGGTTTTACGCCGCTTTTAGCAATACTCCAGCAACATCACGGCAGGGGACACCAGAAATGGGCTTCACACATTGTACTCATGTGGGGATTCGAACCCAGGTCTTCGGCGTGACGAGCCAATGCTTTAACCACCAGGCTACCCTACTGCCCGCTTAATTTACTGACTTATAATTCTTTTGGGAATGCATAATAACAACTTTCACTGTCACGTTGTAATGACTGCAACATGACACATTTATGTCAAGAGAATAAAATGATTTAAGCCTTACTACTCAAAATTTAACACATCAAATTAAGGTATATCCACACCACCCCTATCCCACCCATCCCATTCCATGGATGCCCAAATCAGAAAGGCTGTATTATACATGTTGTTTGTTCCTTTCTTATTGTTTGACACAGCAATCAACAATATTCCATAACAGAGACCAATACATAATATGGGGCGGTGGGGTAGCCTAGTGGTTAAAGCGTTGGCTCGTCACGCTGAAGATCCGGGTTCGATTCCCCACATGGGCAGAATGTGTTAAGCCCATTTCTGGTGTCCCCCGCCGTGATATTGCTGGAATATTGCTAAAAGCGGCGTAAAACTAAACTCAGTCAGACATAATCAAGTCTGGACCAGAAAAATCAATGATTGATATTATGAGCAATGAAAAAGTAAGTTGACACACCATTAACCAAGTCATCAGACCAACCGACCCACAGTGTCAACCAGTTTGGGCTCTTAGGTACAAATTCTAATCTCGAATCTACACAAGCTGCCAATTTACCAACACTAAACAATTTTCTGACTGTTTGCTTTGATTAAGTATTTGCTACAAATACCGAACAAGACATTAACTTTTAACACATTACAATAGTAAACCAATACCTCATTTTGTAGACTATATTGCTCAAACCAAGCAAGATGTTTTTAGTATTATGAGAGGTCAAAAACTACCAGTATTGTTCACATCGAGGAAAGGGTGATGATATACTTGCGATAAATTATCACTTGACAGAGCATCTTACCATTTAATTTTCCTGTTCTGCTAGAGAATATTACTCACAAAATGAATGAAACCATTCCCGATAGTGAAACAATATGTATGGGTTACTTATCAGTAGAAATGTCTCTCTATACTTATATATCAGTATTGAATAAATGATATACCAGTTTCTTATAGCTATGACAAATAAACTGAATTAGCCATGAGCATGATTACCCATTAAACCTTACGCCAGGGAAACAAATTATTGTGAAACCAATTTTGTTATTTATTATATTGTGACCAGAATAGTTATCCCCATAAAATACTACATGGGAAAATGACTTTACTCCATGTGGGGTTATGTAGGTCCTGGAAATGTGTGCTGATAGAAACCATATCCGTCTCCACACTCAATCTCATCTCTCCATTCTGATTGGCCGAGAGAACCTGAAATATGACCAATCATAACATTACTATCAGTTATTCAAATAACAGCGGGTGCCAATTTCTTTCCTGCACAAGATACTCAAACTTGGATGCCAATATTCCAATGTTGAAATGTACTTGAGGGTTCAGGCTTCATGCAAAAAGTGACCTATTACTATACACTGATATGACTTATTACACCTTAAACAGGATGGCAAGGAATATTGTTTGAATTTGGTATTCAGCTACTATTCAGGTAGTTTAAAGGGATGATAACTTGCAGATAACTTGCAGAATATGTTAAAATGAGCAACTTATTCTGATGAACTCACCATAGTATTACTGAGGTTTTTCATCTTGTCCACAACATTCCTCAACAACTTGATGGGAGGCATGGCGATGCTCACCTGAAATGAACAGGCAACAGATATGAGTGGTTGGACAGGCAAGTGGTTAGGTGGTTGAGTGGCTCGGTGGATGAGTTAATGTGAGGGTGGATGGGTAGGGTTTTGAATGATATGTCTGAGCAATTTCACAGCTATTCCGTTTCCTTTGTAAATAATTCTGGCAGTTCCAACAAACCTGCATTATAAAATTCAATAAGCAGACAAGAACTTTTTCCTTGTTATGGCAGGTTTTGGAGTATAAGTAGTTGAGTTTGAGATATTAAGTAGGGTAAGAGGTAAACTATTAATCTTGCAAGAGCTAAACAAAACAAAACATAACTTGGTCTAGAGTTGCCTCCCCCTCCACTGCATACTTTAAGGACAAAATAACAGCTCTGACATAACTAATCTGTTTTATGTTGAATACATTATTTCTTTCAACAAAATTTGCTCACATCGAACTGGGGCATCTCTGGTTCATCAAAGTCCTGCCAGTGTCTCCGGGGTACAACATGAACGGGAATGTCATGTGTCACCAGCCGCTGGTGTGATCCGATTGTTGGCTGAAAAAAGTAAGAGGAAGATAAGAGAACGTCATAGACTGATACTGTCACTTGTATCAGGGTATATGGATAAACAATATTTACCTCAAGGACAATATTTATCTCAAGAGATCCAATATACATGCTCATTTTCAGACACAAGACATAATACTGAAGGATCATCACAAAAAGGACGGTGGGGTAGCTAAGTGGTTGAAGTTAAACAAAACTCATCACTCCAAAGACCTGCTAACAATAAAAGCAGCGTTTGATTCCCCACAAGGGTGCAATGTGTGAAGCCCATTTCTGGTGTCCCCCACCATGATATTGCTGGAATATTGCTTAAAGTGGGGTTAAACAAAACTCACTCACTCACTCACTCACTTGCTAACAATAAAAGCAGATTTTTCACCATGACGAACTCAAAGAATGGGATCACCCGTTAAATCTCCCATGGCTGTTCTCACCAGATCTACTTCCACCGTCAGGCAAGGACTGTGCTTCTTGGTCAATTTTATCTTGACCCACTTTGCAGTCTGGGCTGTTTTCATGGCACGGAGCAAGTTCTCAGGTGTTAGTTCCAGGTAGATCTCGTTTGCTTCTGCAGACAAACCATCCATTGCAAATTCATCAAAGAAGTTCCCCTGGAAACAAGACAAAAGTAACAAGTCGTTCAGTTTGTAACCACTCATTGTTAGTGTGTAGTAAGAGAATTATGATCATGAGGCAAAACTAGACATATTAAATAATCAGGACATGAGTTGCAGCACATGATAATTATACTAACCATGGTATACATGGTATCGCGTTATATACTCAATTTCAACCTAGACAGATTATCAGGTGTCCGCCCGGGAAAGCCACATTTGAAAAATACCAATTGCCGTTAAAGACACATTTCAAGTATAAACGTTAAAGACACATTTCCCGAATCGCCGCAAAAGCCACAATGAGTAAGGGAATCAATACCGTTTTTTCAAACAACCATCACCCATTGATCACAATGGATTAAAATTGTTTTAGTGACTTGTCCTTTGTTTGTTTAGATAACATATGATAGGTGGCTTCTTTATTCTCGATGACGTTTCAGTTAACATATGATAACATAAAGGTCAATTTCAGCTTTTGCTCTTAAGAAAATTTTATTTGTATTTTTGGGTATTTTTATGTCTTCATGTAAACTACTGTGGTTTGTGTGATTGGTATATTGCATCAGCAGAGAAGTTTGGACAAGAATCTTCCATTAAATTTATTGTGATGTTTCAACTTTAAATCAAAATGTCATTACCGCAACGGTGGCAAAAATACTGATTTTGGAAAATTTAGTCATAAATTTTGCTTATAAATAGCTATGAAATGGAAAGAGGCTGTTTATAAGTATATTTGCGCAATAAATGGTCATTCTTCTAAATTGTTTTTTTTTGTTTTGTTGAGTTTTTAGCATGAATGTAAACATAGTAACTGAGGCAACAATAGGCAAAATTATCCTAATAAATAGCATACATTTCAAGCGGGGCTTACGGGCAGAACTCTTGCCGAATTATTCTTAAATCATGCTAATATGAGCAAATCCTTGAACAAACCCACAAAGAGAGGCAAAAGATGTCCCGTTTTGATGTCAGTTGGTTTTATATCATACCTGGGGAAGTTCACACCAGATCTGAATTCCTCCATTGACTGCTTGCTCTGAGAGAATAAAGTAGACCTTGTCAGGGGTGATCCGTAGAATGCAAGTCTTGATTAGTTTTGACACAGTACCAACAACCTCTGCAACAAGGAATTGATCAAAGTAAATTGCTAATTGCCGGCATTTCTTATTACTGCATGTAATAAACTAAGTCAATGAACATGGATCTGTGAAGAGTATGGGCTACACGGAAATATTCTGTTAGGTAACAGTAGTATCATGTAGATTCAGTGGTGTTGAGTTTGCTGTACTCATTCAAAATGGATTTTGAGATCCTTGGGTATGTATAAAGTTTTGCTCTTTCAATGAGTTGAACCAATCAAAACTGTACATTGCATGTTACATAATCATGATATTTCTATTCTGGTGAAAAACACCAGTTTTGAGAAACAATATCCATAGGGGACTGTTCATAATTTATGGCAAGGGGGTGGGGTGTGTGTGGTGTGTGTGTGATGATGATTTTTATGCAGAAGCATGTACAATGTGAATGAACCCCCCTAAAATTTATGCACAAAGTAAGTGACCCCCCTTTGCATATCATGTACAAAATCAATGACCCCCCTTCCCCTTCCAATAACTGTTTAGCATAATTTTAAAATATTTTTATGTACAAAATTGCTGACACCCCCGTACATGTGTACACAATTTATGCCCCACCACCACCACTTCCCAGAACAAAATGGGTGACCCCTTTAAAATATCACCATTTCTACACACACCCAAAAAAAAATGAAAATAAAATATTTAAAAAGCCATAAATGATGAACGGTCCCTATTCATCTCCGTCAAACTAACACTATTTCCAGCTACGACAGGTTTCCCATTTTTCAAGGATATGAAATCTGTAAGATTCTCGACAATCAAGCGAACCCTTCTTCTGTTAGTGAGTCTAGGAACCCCCACCCCACCGCCCTCCCACTCCCTTACTGCCTCAGTATCAGCTGAGTATATAACCAGATGTGACATACATGTAGACGCTAAGAACGAGTTGCGCGGTTTCCACATCTATAAGATGGTGAAATCACCTGACACACGTACTTGTGAAGTGTTGAATACATCCAATATCAACTATCTTTCCTCTAAACTTCATCTTCCTGATATTAACCTTGTTGGTAAATCAAACAAAAGTATTTTGAATCTAACGAAACCATGAGCAGTCGCAAAATTTCCTATTTCCCGCCATCTTGGAAAGGGACGTAATGCTCTAACAATAAGATATTTACATGGTTATTGAAATCTCCAGATAGAAGCTGATACTTACATTTCTGTTAGATTGTTGTTGGCTTAGTTAATAACATGAGATTGACCTTTGGTTACTTGGTGTGTTTGCAAATACAGTTTTGGCGATTTAAAAATAACAATTGACTGGTGCATCGCGTTCCTGTTGCCTGATCAAAGCGAATGTAGTTCATAAAAACATGAAACGGACTATTTGACATAGCTCTGCGTTCAAGCGTTCCTTTTGTTGCCATTCAAGACATATATACCCACGTATTCTACATAAATTATATACTCCCTCGTGACAGATATCAGTCGAAACAATATCAGGAGAAAACTGCATCGTAAATATTTATAGAAGCGAACGTAAAATGTCATTACCGAGCGGGTTGGGTATATAGCGTTAAAAATTCTTTGCAGATCAACACGAGTGGTTTCTTTTGGAGGAGGTAACAATTTCAGAAGTAATTGTGGTCGTGTTAATTTAGTACCTAGAATACAGTAGCTTACAATACATTATTTATTTGTAAAATATAATTGGAAATTAAAATATTGAAGATTCTTGACACGTATAGACCTACTACACGAACCTTTTAGTGAGAAATATATTTTGTTTAAAGTTGGAATGCTCCTTAAACAGTTGTTTGGCATAAATATATTATATTGTATATCCAGGGTGAAATAACGCGTAGTAAACACATAATGGCCTGCCAAAATGATTACGGAATATATAGAGAATCTCACCCGAGTGTCTTCTGATATCAAATATATCACCACGAGTTGATAAAGTAACAAATATCCGAGGCTTGCCGAGTGTTGACATATTTGATATCAGAAGACACGAGGGTGAGATTTTATTTATCATCAAAAATCACTCTTCATTAGTTTTCAATGAAAAATATACATCTCTGAACACAGTACTGCCATTAGATTTGCAGTGCAGCGATGTCATAACATTGTGACGTCAACAAGTTCATGACGTCATAGCATTGACAGGGCATTGTACAAAATCTACTGTCAAAACGATATCTCCTAGGAGATATCGTCTGATCTCACACAAGCGATATCTACTGTGGAACACAGTTTTGGATGATAAATGTGTAATGTTATGAACTACGATATAATGTACTATAAATATATTCTGCCTAATGGATACTTACTGTCTAATTACTGAATAAAGAAAACTTAAGAACGTTTTCAAAATTAGAAAGATAAATTGATTTCAAGAATATTACTCTGCGTATACCTAATGACGTGTCCTTTGTTGTACTGGTGTAATCTTCACGATCTTGTCTAAAACAGTAGCCTACACTTGAACGAATGACTAGAATATTATACTTATAGAGTAGTATAAAAATATGGTGCCGTTTTCGTTTTGTTTCGTTCTGACGCGGCGCAGCTTGAGCAATAATAAGTCAACATAACGACTTCAGGCGATTTGGTTACTTGCATGTAACCTTACCCAGATAGCATGGTCCGATGCTCATGATATCACTCACTGGGTCAGACTCGACTATTTACAGGTCGGAGACTTAGTGCATCGCTAAACCAAAAGAAAAGAAACAAAAAGTATTTCCAGGAAGAACATGACGACATTTGCAATACAAGGTCACTGTCAGGGCAATGCAGCTAAAATACGATTTGACTTGTATTTACAAGGAAGTAGACGATAAAATTTTTAAACAAAGGACACGCATTGTTGAAAGAAATGAACTGCAACGACAACAACACAATCGCATGTGGCTTTCATGTGGCTTTCACACAGCACTCAGTGCAATCTATGCTTTTGGCGGGTCATATCGTCCAGCGGAGAGAGGAGGCATGGATCTGTTTGATCCTATCTTACCACTTCCTTTATCAAACGTCATGGGGAACATCTTCAGGAGGATGTCCACAGAATATCATTTAAACCACACTGTACAACACATTTAAAAACGACAACCGCTGATCTGCCTGATTTACAGTAGCCTCGCGTCAGGCGACAGACTGTGAAGAAGCTCCTGCTGGGAATGCTGATGAGGAATAAGCATTCTCATATGTTGTTCATGGCACAGATGGCATGAATTTTATATAAGGTACGTAGAAACCTTACTCCACTCATCGCGTCAACAAAAGTTAAGACATATATTTTATTTTGTGGTAACGAGGTGGTTAAAACGTTTGCTTAACACAACGAAGGCCCGGCGATGCAATGTGTGCAGCCCATGTGTGTTGATGTTGCTTGATTATTCCTTAAAGAGGCATAAACTCACCTTCCTTGTAGAGGTAGAATCTGATCATTTAGAGGTTTTGGGTATTGACATTTTCTGCTAAAATTTTAGTCGAATGTTACAGACAGTGAGTGAGTTTTGTTTCACGCCGCTTTTAGCAATATTCCAGCAATATCACGGCGGGGGACACCAGAGATGGTGTTACAGAAATACTGCAATAGTCATACTGTAAACGCATGTGGATTGTCCAGGACTTGCCTTGTGTCTTGAGATATGCACTTACAGTCATCCAAAGAGCGAATGAGTACAAATTGATTGATTGTTGTTTAACGCCGCACTCAGCAATATTCCAGCTATGTGGCGGCGGTATGTAAGAATGAGTACAAAAGTGATATTTAAAATTTAGAATAACTTTACATAACTCTGAAACTAGCATTTCAAAGAGAACCAAAAGGATTCACTCGAAAGATTAAGCCGGTTTATGAGTAAAAGGCATGCCTATATCAACAAGCATATACAACCTCATTTTTGCTCTCCTTTTTGTTCCAGCTTTCAATGTACCGCTATAGGTAATGGACACTGATCTTTAAACCATAATAATCATTTCATCATTGAAGGACACTGCAATTTGCTTTACGGAGAATTTATGAACACGTTCAATCACAAAAATGGTTCGAGATTTAGTGTTAGTACTTCTGACCACAGTCAATGCATATTTGTCAACACTGTCAACAGGTCAAAGGTTAAATATTACTGATACAAAACAGACGGATTCAACGATGAATACGACTCATATCGGATCACTTGAAGGACACATAAATGAGACAAGGTCATTACATGGTCAAGGACATATGGCGCAAATTTCCCAAACGTCACAAGATGATTCGGACTCGACTGATTTTACCGACATCGCCCTGGCAACGGCATCGTCATTTAACCATTCAGGTTTACCTGTGTTTTTTCCACTTGTATCGGCGGGAATCATCAAGGCCGGCGTGGACATCTACAGCTACAACGTCAGTGACGTTTGCAAGGTGGAATTTTACCAGTACGCCGTGGACCTACAACATATGAAGGACTGGGCCGTGAGAAGTAAGTCTAATGTTTACGAGGCGAATTGAAAACAAAACAACATTTGTGGTCTCATATATAATGATTTGTGTAAACAGTGTGACTTCAAGTGTCAACAAGTGTATGAAGAATATAATCAGTCGGACGCCAAAAATAGCACCACATGGCAATCCAGATCTGTAGTTAATTATGTTTTGTTACCTCTTGACCCATTCCTCTACTGTACTGATCTAGCGCCATTGGGATCTATATTTCTTCCCTAAACTCAAAGCACTTTGTTGAGTTTTAACCGGGAAGAAAAGTTTTTGATCTAGCGCCATTGGGATCTATATTTCTTACATAAACTCAAAGCACTTTGTTGAGTTTTAACCGGGAAGAAAAGTCTTAGGGCGTGCATATAACAAAACAAAATTTAATGAAATCAAAGCAAATTATACGAGACAATATCCATTCTCAACGATTCTTCCGATTAAAAACGTCATGCACCCCATAAGAAACATTGCTTGGCGAATCTTCTCTTTATGCTGTTCCATCACATGCAATGGAGATTATCCATTTTAATGAATTAAGTTGATTGATTTTAATGATACATATGAAACATTTTAATCATATATTCCTGAACTTTGGAGGAATAAGTTCATACTCTGGAAACAGTGGTTATCTGGATGTGGTTAAATATATTTGTCGTTTAATTCAACTTCCGGGGATTATGTCTGTCGTGTGTTTCGTGTGTTCCAGTGTATGACGCCACTGGTAGGCAAGGGCCGGGATTTCTCCAGGGATCGGTCACGTGGCAAGGAGACTATGACCAGTGCAGTGATATACATCACACGATAACGTCACTTGATACAGAAAGTGACGTGAAGATAAATGCTCTGTATTGCTCACTGTCATTTGATTCGCCCGTATGGCTGGACAAGTATATTTCCCACCAGGTGATAATTATGCAATACGTTTATTTGAAGAAGCATGTAAAATACAACGAGGATAAAATACAACATGAATTCCCAAGCATGACAATATACAATTTAATACATAAATGTATAGTTTTTACAAGACAAAGACTGGCATTGTATCAACTGATCTTGAAATATTGTCTCCTGCAGCACCTACCGTTCCCCGTGCTTCTGCCGCACCTGACTGTGGACATCTGTATCCCTTCTGGCTGTGCGGAGGACGATCTCACCACCATCATCAACACATGTAGGTCTTTGCAGGTATTACAAATATAAAGTATGATACGGCCTCTATTTTCACTGAGTCAGATTTTAAAGACACTTTAACGTTTTAAAAATTCTGACACAGTTAAACAACGTGGTATCGAACGCACGGCTGCCTCGAAGTAAATTCTTGGTCCACGCATATTCCTTATTTAGTCATCATTTGGAGGCTGTCGTGACCTCGGTTGGTTGGTTTGTTGTTTACCGCCGCACCCAGCAATATTCCAGCTATATGGTGGCGGTCTGTAAATAATCGAGTCTGTACCAGACAATCCGGTGATCAACAGAATGAGCATTGATCTATGCAATAGGGATGCGATGACATGTGCAACCAAATCAGCGAGCCTGACCACCCGAGCCCGTTAGTCGCCTCTTACGACAAGCATGGGTTACTGAAGACCAATTCTAACCCGGATCTTCACGTGTCGTTGAACCTCAGATTACCCGACACTCGTCTGTAGTCACGTGTATATGCTGTTTGATGAAATTCTTTTTGGATGTGAAGAATTATCTTGACTAAGCGAGAAATACACACGTGTCTTCTGTTGAAATAATATTTTGGCATTCTAGAGCATTTTACATTAATAAAAACTTACAAATGTCTATGCCTCGTCTGATGAAAATACTACACAACATTCTTTATCCGCTATTGCTAATTTTACAATATTTGAGGTTCGAAAGAAGGTATAGGTGTATCATTTTTGTCCACTTAAATTTCTTAGTGACAGTTTCATGACTAACCGGCAGCAGAAAATGTCAAGAGACGCAGATAGATTGTGAAAATGGAGACAACAGCTGAGAAACTTTTGTGGATACTGATAAAGTTAATGTCAACAAGAAATGTCGACGTACATGTCATTTTACTGTTATTTCCAATATGTTGTATACAGGTGCAGGACAACAGCAAGACAACATCACCCTGTCAGGCATCACGTGTCAGAGGGACATGCAACTCGCCTACGATGCTGCTGCCATCTTCTCACTGTAGGCTATTGAACCTATGTCTTAGTTGAGTTGTGGACTAAGTGCCCCGAGTGAAGACTCCCAAACTCAATGATTCGGAAAGGAGTATTTTTAGATTAAGCAGAATAAAATAGTCAATCGGTCGCTGAACAGCATGCTCTACGCCAGCAAACAAATGAATAACATCATACGTTTGGTGTGTCTTTTTCACAAATTTGCAAAATTGCAATTACGTCGTTAAATGCAGTTATGTGATCAATATAGTCAGTATAACGCAGCTGGAACTAGCCAAACAGCGTGCAAACAACTGTATACAAGTCATTCAGAATTAGTGATTTTGTCTGTTTGGGGTAGTGTATGCTACGGATTGTCTTTGAGTAAACGAATTGCCCTTTTCAAATAACGATTAATAGGTCTTTTATTCTACAACATTTACATCTAATGAAATTACCATTGTGAGTGAAAAGTATTCAGATATTTTAATAATGTCACAGTGTCTTTGTATGGGACGAAAGCCCGACTGGGCAAAAGAACCCAACCCAAATGACCCTATTTGCTGCAGCCTGTGTAGTTTTGAATGGTTGAATTGTGTTCCAGATGATCTTATGTCTATGGAAAGTGTGTACATGAGATTTTACTTTATTCCTACATAAATAAGTTGCACAGTGACGGATTGCATCTGTCCTAGTACTTGTAGCAGCAGTGGCAGTAGTAGCTATAGAGCTAGTAGCAGTTCTAGTAGTAGAAGAATTTGTGAATGATTTGAGTTTTACCACAGTGTGCAACCCAATAATAAACAATCTAAACATAGATCTTGATATATTATTTTACTAGAATGGAATGAGTGACTTAGTGAGTATGGCTTTATGTCGCTTTTAGCAATAATCCAGCAATATCACTTGTGGGGACACCAGATATGGACTTCACACATTTTACCCATGCGGGGAATCGAACCCGGGCCTTCGGCGTGAAGAGCGAACGCTTTAACCACTAGGCTATCCCACCGCCCCAGTATTAGAAGAAGTAGTAATAGTGTTAGTAGTAGCTACAGAGATAGTGGTTGTTCAGGGGGTGGTAGTAGTGACAATAGTAGTTATAGTGGTACTAGTAGTAGTTGGGAAATAGTAGTAGCTATGGGGAGTAGTATAGTGGTGAGTAGTAGTAGTAGTAGTACAGTAGTAGCAGAAATAGTAGTAGTAGTAGTAGTAGTAGTAGTATTGGTAGTAGAAGTAGTAGTAGTAGATGTGAAATAGTGGTGGTAGTAGTAGCTATACAGGTAGCAGCAGCAGTAGTGGTCGTAGTAGTAGTAGCAGTAGCAGTAGTAGTAGTAGTAGTAGGTGAAATGGGGGTTGGCGTCACGTTGAAGAGTACAACACTAACATAACTATGTGCATGCATGTGTCTGTGCGGTTGCTTATGGTAGTAAAGACTAATGCCGGCTTTGAGTTCAATCCACTCACACACCAGGCCGCATTTCATATGAATCATGATTTATCAGTACCCTTGTAACTAACTACTTATGTGTTTGTGTGTTTGTGATTGTTCCAGGTGTTTGCTGGCTACGCTTGCATGCTTGGTATTCCTTGGAAGCATGATCACTGTCATTGTACGACTAACAACTTCGACGGAAGAACTTTACCCTTCACCGTGTGTCGGCTATTTCAGCAGAAGGGGAAATGTATTTTTTGTTGTACGCAAACACAGTCTTTCTACAACAGAAACAAACTGTACACCAAGTCCATTTGGCGTAATGGTAGCCGGGACAGTCTGAAGAATGATTCGGACCACCAAGCGGCAGCAACATCCTCCGTCGACGACGACGTCGCGATTAGTGTTCAAAGATCGGCTTCTTTGAAACCGGGGGATCAATCAGTAATTCAGATGACACAGAAAAGGGATGACTCTTCAGAGAAACGGACAGACATCAAACTTGAGGTTGGTTGTCCTCATTTTGAAAGTTTTACCAGTTACATGGCCATCCTAGTTTTGATTGCCGTCCAATCACTGCGGCGTTAGGTGGATTTTGACCCTAACCTTCAATCATGACAGTCCTTTGGCTGAATCACGGAAACAACCCATTGTACTTTCAGTTTTTCGCCTCTAGCTGTGTGTGCGTGCGTGTTTTGGATTTTTTTGTGTGTATTTGTGTGTGTGTGCTTGCACTAGTCATACTTCTCTTATGGCTGAAATACCGTTGGCATGCTGTATGTATGAATGGATGTGTGTGTGCGTCCGTGCGTGCGCGTCTGCGTGAAGTAGTCTTCTTACGGCCTGGTTTTATTGTTGAAATGCCATGCCCCTGAATAACACGAACACTCTACGAGCCGATCAGTCCATCTTTCATTCCCTTAATGTCTGGCGACATGGTTTGGTCTGACGCACCCGGCTCCACAGACAGACACTCTGTCAACTAGGCCATGGCGCCGCCTCCAAAACACAACGAGTACGTGAGAAAGTAGTAACCATCGTAGTCAATCACCTGCTTTGTAAGAGTATAAATGTCAGTTGTGTTCTCTTTAAAGTCTTCTATCTGATATACATAGTCATTGTATGTTCTGAATGGTGTTCTTCAGCCAATCAGTGTGATGTCCCTACCAGTCAGAATGGATTCCCAACAGAATGATCAACTTGACCCAAATCAACTTGTCAGTTTGACACCAGGTAAATATAAAAAGGGAATTTGTTCTATTGTCCTCATTGTTAAGGCGTTCGCTCATAACCTCCGTGTTCGATTCCCCACATGGATACAACGTGAAAAACACACCACTTATGTTCCTTGTTATCTGCGGGACTACTGCTAATTGTGGCGTATCATGATTAATGTGATCATGCATTCATGCAATGGTTAAAAATGATTCCAGTTTGCAAAATCTTTAATCTTTATAGTTCCTTACTTGTATTCATTTGTGTGGGCTTGGTTCAGGTGGCGTGGTCACTGACATCCTCCTGTGTTTCTCCCTCCCAAATAATTTGGCGTCAGTTCTTGGAGGGGGCAGTGCAGACCAGCTACTCTTTCTCAGTGGCGTCCGGTTCCTCTCCATCTGCTGGGTTGTCTTTGGCAACACCATTAGCTTCATACACAGAACACCTGATGTGATTGGTAACTATGATTTTATTTTCTAAATAGAACTGATGGTGCCTTTATAAGAGCTTAAAAGTACAGTCGATTCAAACTGCCCCACCTTGCCTATATCGACAATGTACCATTCAAGTTCATGTCAACCAAGTAAGACGGTAGTAGATGTGATTACACAATTTCTATTGCCTTGAGATGGGCACAGAGATTTTAAACTGTCACACTAAGTGAGTGTTTCCCGATGAAATTGATTTGTAAATTTAAAAAAAAGCCGATTTCCCCAAAAATATGACTTTCAGGTATTTATCTGCATTATTGTCTTTCGGTCATTTAATTAGATATAAACAATTCAGAATATCCCTTAACACCACTGGTGATGGAAACGTAACCAGAAAATATGAAGTATTTACGTATCTAAAATATACGTCGCAATTATTTATTTTTGACCTTGCGTGACATGATTGTTTTAAAAACTGGACCACATCTGGTCACCACATCCTGGCCTATGTTAATGTAGGTGCAATAAGCTTTCCAATGAGCCATAACATGTCTATACAAGAGATGGGGGCATTAAACTCCTTAATTTGGCCACTTTTCTTTAAGTCGCTGCTCTCCTATTATAGGTTGCAGGAACATAGACTCTTTCGGTTCTTAATTATATGTCTTGGACAATTCATTCTTATATGTCTAAATCTGATATTGATCGTGTTTTGATAAACGTCCACTTGGAACAAGATTGTCACATCAATTGAATCACATGAACCACTGAATTGTTTATCATTATAAACACGGCAAGCAATTGAAAAGAAAGTAGTTACAGAGCATCAATAAGGTGTCCTTGTGTGCATTGAAACTTTACTTTCTTTCAGAAAATGGCGTCACTCTCGTGGAATTGGCTCAGTGTCCTTTATTTCAAGCAATAATCAACAGTACCTTTGCTTCTGATTCTTTCTTCATTCTCAGGTGAGGTGAATTCAGACGTTATATGCGTACGTACATGAGAAGAACAGAACTCGTATACAACGATAACAACTTTGTTGTTTAGACACACATATTCTGGGGCGCTGAGGAAACCTAGTGATTGAAGCGTTCGCTCGTTACGCCGAAGACCCGGATCTGATTCCTCACATGGGTACAATGTGTGCAATCCATTTCTGGTGTCCCATTCGTGATGTTGCTGGAATATTGCTGAAATCGGCGTAAAACCACACTCATAATCATTCACATACTATCGCCCTATTCTACATGTACATTTGGTATTATAGATTCTGAAAACATGTTCGGTTGTAAGTGACATCGCTGAGGACATCTGTTACGGCCACTCAACTTCTACTAAAACAAAGACTTATTGATCAAAGCATTCAACAGCGGTAGGTCAGCTTAGTGTATACAGGACTCGAACATTCGATTCCCATCATGTGTACATCCCATCCTCATTCAAAGAACGAAGTGTACTTAATCAATGTGCAGGGATAAGTACCACAAATCCATGGCAAACTAAATTGTAAACATTTGATGACACCAGGTGATCAACGTGCCTTTTCATGTAGTTATAGGACCATTGTATTTTCAAATGCAACTGGAATTCAGCCAGTCAACAGTCACATTGCTTTTTCATGTTGCAATAGTGGAACGTTGCTGTCTTACAATTTTCTGCGGAATGTTGACAAGAAAAAGTCGGCGGGGAAGGAGTTCAAAGTGACTCCCAAGTTTCTTCTGATGTTCTATATCCATCGTCTGTTGAGGTGAGCAGTCAATAGGTGTGTGGGTGAGTAAATGAATGAGTTTTGAATGACACTGTGGGTGGGTGGTAGATGGAGAGGTTGAGTGAGTGAATGGGTGGGCGGGTGAGTGAGTGAATAAGTGAGTGGTACATGGGTGAGTGGATGATTGGGTTGGCGGGAGGTTGTGTTAGTGGTTGGGTGGGTATGTGGGGAAGGGAGGGGGGGGGGGGTTCACTCTTGTTGCTCAACGTAAGCTTCATATCGTTATCCAATTGTCACGCGGAACAGTATTTTTTATATTTTTTTTATTTACTATTTTTTCACTTATATATTGGTACAGTACACGTAGTCAATGTGTGACGTTGATAGTTACCATTGTACTGATATACAAGTATACGAAACAGTCAATGATATGTCAGTAGAATTTTTTTTGTAAATGCCATCAGATAACGCGGAACAGTAATGCCCAATATTCAATAAAATATACAAATATTCCTGCGATTTCAAAGTGTTCTTTAATGAGAATATCACTGACCGAAATATCATCACTTGTTTGGCCTTTCAGTGTTTTCAGTTAACGTACTCCTCTCACAAGAGTACTCTTATCAGTGGAAGATACATGCAATTGTTATTTATGTATGGTCGCCTTCAGACGCCACATGCTTGATCAGCTCATCAATACAACTATTCATTTATTATCTGTGCCACACAGAATATTACCGTGTTACCTGGTGGTGTTGATGATTTTTGCCAACCTCATGCCTTACATGGGACGTGGACCTCGCTGGAAGTATGTCACTACTGCCATCAACCAGTGCAAGGACCACTGGTGGGCCAACGTCTTCTTCTTCAGCAACTTCTACAAGGCAGATGAAATGGTGAAACACCTTTACTATTTTACTTTGAACAAATATATATTCTATATATAATATCAGATAAACTTTGCTGTAGTGCTGATATTGAATAGATTATCCTTATTCTGAAAGGTTACCATGTTAAATGATAAATACTTTGCTTTGATAAGCATTTGTTTGTTGTTGTAGTTTAACGTCGCAGTTAACAATATGACCACCGTCTGTTAATAGTCGACTGTGTTGAATATTCCATCACAAGGGATATCTATTTCAAATCACGAACTATGAAGGATCTTTTTAATAATATAAGCTCTCATTCAATTATTGCATTTTAAAAGAATTAGATTTGTTAAATGATTTGTAAATAGATACATATTTTATTATTGGTAGTTTAGATTAGTAACTGAGATTGGTGGTGGCTGTACCCTCAAAGGGGGTTGAAGTAGCGTAAAATTATTGTCCTCCTGAGAGGGTACATAAGTCCCGAAACATTAAAAGGAAATTTAAATATTTCCAGCTGTTTTAAATGTAGTATTCTTGTCATTTTACTTTTGGCTAAATTTGACTTCAATCGCCAGCGGCTGAAGGGATGATATAAATCCGGCTAGGGTCCATGCAGGTAGCAAAAGTAATGTAAGTCCCCATGGTCCCTAGTTTGGCGATCTACCTTCAGTTGTTGGCGATCTATAGTCAGTTTTTATGTTGTATTGTCCAAATAGTGCTATTAGTTTAATTTTCCACACTACTTTTAGTTGTAATAGTGATATTCTAGTTGTTTTACTGTCCTTCGTCGACAGGATTTTACAATATACATCTATTCCATTTCAATGTCACATATGTTCTCGTCACGATATGGCTGAGATATTGCCGATGTGACGTGAAATATTAACTCAAAATTAACTCACTCACTCACTCACTCACTCACTGTTAATAGTCGAGCATTAAGCTTGATTGCCATCATGTACATTGATTTACCCAAACTGGTTATGATGGCATCCGTCAACCAAGTCAGCGAGCCTACCACCTGATCCCGTTAGTCGCCTCTTAGGACAAGCATGGGTAGACAAATTGTTACCCGGATCTTCACGGATCTAAAAACAAATTAAGGAATCAGTCACGGTATCATCTGATATACACCGGGTTTTTTTGTAGAATAAATCATACTAATATTTAGGTGTTTTGCAAAAGATCATGCTTTCTAATGTCATTTAGAACATCACTATGTAACTTTTCAGTGCATGAGCTGGACATTCTTCTTGGTGAATGACACCCAGTTCTACCTCATCTCCCCTCTCATCCTCATCCCTCTGGTCAGGTAGGACATGCATCATCTCTGAGCACTCTGGACTTGTGCCTTTTAAAAACATATATAAGTTGACCCTATTTCATGACCCTGGAGGCTTTTCGATCATAGTCTAATGACGGCGGTGTAAGTGATTATTTAAAGTCACATCGGCGGTATTTGAGCCATATCGTGAATTTAATAAAAACATAACAATATATAGAAGTGGTACTTGGTATTAATCATGACAAATGTTGTATTTAAATACAATCATTTTGATGAAGATTCTGAAATTCAGCAGTTGTGTTTGCTCGTAGGTTACCTCCCCTTGGGTTTGTCCTGCTTGGCCTCCTAGTAGCAACACAGTTGGTATCTGTCGGGATCCTGAATAACAAGATCAACGGCAATATGTTGAGGTAGGAATGTTATCGCATATTCCATTCGAATCATTAGAACGAGTTCGTGTTGAATTTACTGACAGGCCACCTGTGCGATGGCAGTGACAGCGTAGCCTTTCAAAAGGTTCTCGACTCTGTGGTAGCGAATCCACTATCATGTGTGTTGATGTTCACATGGTGTTCTCGAGTACAGTGTTAAAGGTTTTTGCGAGGTCAGAAATTATATTAATCACTGGGTATTTTATCTAAATTATATTATTTGCAGCCCTGATCCATAATTGCCTGAAACAACAGTATCAGAAATATTCCTTGAGAGAATTAGCATCATCAATAACAATTCACCGTAATTCAGTCTTACAAAAGAAGAACCTTGGTAATATACAATCAAATATTGAGATGTCCCCTGGTATCACTGGCAAAAGTTTAATCCATTTCAGCTGTATAATACAATGTGAAAAGTGCAAACTATTTGTCTTTTAATGTGATGATTTGATTTCAGGATGGACCATGGCTACTTCTCCGATGTATACGCCAAGCCTTACTGCCGGGTGGGAGTATTTGCCATTGGAATGGTGCTTGGGTACATCTTGAACAGAGTGGGAAGAAAGGCCAATCTTAGAAAGGTTATTAAGTAGAAACTGTAGTTGTTAGAACCTGGGTCTGTGAACTCGTCTGTTTTCCCGAGTGACATTCATTGACATGTCATTATTCTTCATCAACTGTTGGTCTTATAGGTCGAAGCCACTCTTCAGTAGTGTGTCGAGTAGTAATTTTCGTAGTTGTAATTCCATGCCTGTCGTAAGAGGCTACTAACGGGATCGGGTGGTCAGGCTCGTTGACTTGGTTAACACATGTTAACGTATCCCAATTGCGTAGATCGATCGTTGATCACTGGATTGTCTGGTCCAAACTCGATGATTTAGAGACCGCCGCCATATAGCTGGAATATTGCTGAAAGCGGCGTTAATCAACAATCAATCAATCGTAGTAGTAGTAGTAGTAGTAGTAGTAGTAGTAGTAGTAGTAGTAGCTGTAAACCTTTTCCCTCATTATGTGATTACATTCCTTCTGTATTTGCGATATGTTTCCAGACACCGATGATACTAGGCTGGCTGATGTCGTTCTGCACGATGGTGTTGGTGATTTATATAACGTACTTAGAGAACAGAGTCGGAGGGAGGAAATTTACTGCTGTGGAAGCAGGGGTCTATGAGGCCCTTGCTCGTCCTGCCTGGGGACTGGCATTATCCTGGGTGATCTTTGCCTGCTGTGTCGGACAAGGAGGTGTGAACACAGGCTGTGGTTAACTTTGTTCATTGCTGCCAAATGAAATTGTACACAATATGTAATAATGGCACAAGTGCTGAGTATAAGGTGAGGTGCCAACGTATGGGATAATGTCCAGCTATGTAGGCTCACGTACCTCAGCTGCAAAGATCCGATGGTCTGGGGTTTGAATCCAACTTTCTTCTGATTAATTATTCTTTGTCAATCAGCGATATTACTTCTCTCCGTTGTTTCAACACGTCATTGGTTGTCCATTTACTTGGTGTTTTCGGAGTCACGCAAATCAAAGAGATGGTAAAATGAACTATTTCAGTATTTCAGCCATATCGTGACTAAGCAGGTTCTAAATTCATAAATACAAATACATTAAAAAACCCCAACCTGTCAGCGAAGGACAGTAAAACCAACTAGAATATCACAGATATCAGTCTAAGTTAACTTATTCTCAGTATTATTCGTTACACTGCTATACTGAGTCTAACAAAACCTAGTAGAAGGTCGTGTCAGCTAACCTTTGGACTGACCAATCAGAACACAGCTTACCAAATCGCGAAAGTTAACATTCGCACATACCGTTTGAACCTTTACCTAAAAAACTCGAACGATTTCGAATGCTATTTTCCGCACGATCGCTTCCGAGTGATACACGCAATGAGTAAACAGTCGCTGAAAATAGCGTTTTTGTCAATATTCAAGGATGTCATCTTGCGAAAATATAAGCAAATAGTAACCATGTCATTAGAAACCCATAAGCGTATATACTGAAGGTCAAATATCTGTGTTTTATGAGGATTTTCGTTTGTTGATAGATCAGTGTCAGCGACCAGGGAAGAGAAAAATCAAAAACCGTTTTGTAAGTCCCGTTGAACCCCTAACAAGTAGTCGTTGTCTGATTGGTTAAATCCGTTCGGCCTTCTCGCGTTTGATTGGACGGTCATAGGTCGCTCAAAGGTTAGCTGACGCGACCTTCTACTAGGCTTTGTTAGACTCAGTATAGCAGTGTAACGAATAATACCGAGCCTAAGTTTACTTAGACTGTCACAGATATAGATATAAAACTAGTCTTAACTATAGAGGACAATACAATATGAAATCAGGCTACAGATTGCCAACAACAGAAGGTAGATCACCATACTTGGAACCATGGGGACTTACAGTACATTTGCTTTCTGCATGGACCCTTGCTGGTATTACACCATCCCTTCAGCTGTCAGCAATTCAGACAAATCTAGCCTTGAATTAAAAAAACATATTTCTACGATTAAAAACGTGGTAAGATTAAGCATACTTTGAATGCTTTGGGACTTACGTATCCTCTCAATGGGACAATGATTTTAGACTACTTTAACCCCCTTTAAGGATACATCCACTAACAAACTCAGTTACTGATTTTAATCTACCAATATTAAAACATTGATCGATTTACAAACATGCATGTACATGAAAGGTCCACATGAGTCCCCATATGATATAAGGTCACACAACAGTTGTCATTTCCGTCGTTTGTTTTTAGGATTTATTAACACATTCCTGTCCTGGAACTACTTTTTCCCACTGTGCCGCATCACCTTCGGGATCTACCTCCTACATCCCATGGTCATCATGCTTGTGCGTGATACATCTCGCAGCCTCTTCCATTTCTCGCCCTTTGGTCTGGTACGTCTTCTGAATATAACTGAGATGTTACTACTTATCATTGTTCCAAGGCTGCACTGAATGCTAATACCCGTGAAGATCCTGCGCTAAGGGAGCTTCGAAAATCTAGGCCCTGGTTAGTATTGGTCTTCAGCCACCTACGCTTATCGTAAAAGGCGACTAACGGGATCGGGTGGTCAGGCCTGCTGACTTGGTTGACACATCATCGTATCCCAGTTGCGTATATCGATGCTCATGCTGTTGATCACTGGATTGTCTGGTCCAGACGCGATTATTTACAGACCGCCGCTATATAGCTGCAATATTGCTGAGTGCGTCGTTAAACAACAAACCAACCATCTGAATGCTGTGTTTATTGATGTAAAGTAATTCTATCCTTTGAAGAAGCAAGTCTAGATAGGCGGACAATAAGGATGGGAATAATTGTTCTTTCTAATTCTATTTTCTATAAATTAATAATTATTGCCACAGAAACTTGTGCGTATCGAGTAAGGCATCCATTAGCAGTCACTCATCACGATAGTCACGATATCATCTGTATACCCAACTGACGAGAAAAAACATAGCACTTCGACTTTATTTATCTAATATTTCGTGTAATTTCAAACATTTGTAATATTGCGTTTCTTTTGTAATTCAGTATATATCGGACATTATATCGGACAAGTTTTTCACTGGTCTCGAGGGAGACATGGGCTGATGTACCCTCGATGTTTGTATATGTTTCCTCAGCCCGAAGGGACCAGTGAACAACGTATTTATCTTACCGAACACCTCAATGGTAATTTTGAACTGTTTGAAGCACGGGTATCGGATCATAGTATGGAGTACCAGACGACAAGAAAAACAAATTTAGAGTTATCTCCCTTACATCGATTTGCATTCGCAAAACATCGGTAATTTCCGTACATCATACGTGATTCAATGTTATTCGAGATAAAGAATTACTACTACGAAGTACCAAATGAGTTCGGCATTCCAAGTGGGGTACATAGAAAATGTTACTCGCTTGTAAGCGGGGTACATTGAAAATAATAGAAGAGCGCTCAGCCAATCAGAAAACGACATTTATGTGTGAGGCAAGACAATTGTAATTGTGTTTTATGTTGTGTTTCAGTGGCTGTTGTATGTCCCTATACTCGTGATGGCTGCCATGCTGGCACTGGTACTCATCACCTGCGTACAACAGCCATTCATTACACTGGAGGCGCTCATCAAGAACATAGCATCACACTAAAGGATGAATCCATAAGTGCGCTTTTGGCCCCTCATCATTTATTACCTTTTTACGGATTTCTTTAAAAAGAACCCTAAACAAAGGGTCGAGGGTCGAAATATATACTGAACCACAAAAGAAATGTCGCACCGATAGCGGTTTCTTAAAGCACACTCTTTAATTCACTCTAATTAACAATCAAAACGGAAGATTGAGTTCAAACAAACAGAATCATTAAAAAAGGTACCATTAAGATACCCCAAAGTCAGTATCGTGTTTGACCTCCATGGGCATTGATGAAAGCGTTGCATCGTCTGTACATGGAATGAATTAGCCGGTTGATAAAGGCCATAGGCACTTGGGTCCATACTCTGCAAAATGCCTGATCGAGTCCAGCCGCAGTTATCGGCCTTGGTTGCAGGTCATTGCAGGTCTTCTTTGAATCTCGTCCCAAAGTTGTTCTATTGGACTTAAATCCGGGCTTAGTGCAGGCTATTGTAGCTTTTAGATGCCATGTTGTCTTAGATAGTCCAATGTTGCTCTTGGCAGTGTGGGCACGAGCGTTGTCTTGCTGAAAGATGTGATTTTTGTAACGTCCAAAATGTGGTGCAACGTGGGGTCTTATGACTTGGTCAATATAGCGATCAGCTGTCACGTCACTTCCTCATCCTGTGCCAATATTCTGGAACACCACGGTGTCAACTAACTGGTTCAGACCGATTGCACCCCACACTATGATGCTTGGACCACCCCACGAGTCTCTTTCAACAATACACTCATTGGAAAACAGTTCCCCACGCCTTCACCATACTTTCACTCTGCGATTGACTGTCGAAACACAATATCGGCTTTCATGAGATGAAAACACAGTTCTCCATTGTCGATAACGCCAACTTCGATGCTGAGTTGCCCATTGCAGTCTGTTTGGGCAGTGATGAGCGGTGAGGACAGGACTACGATATGGTCTATGACAGCAGAGGTTACTTCCGCGCAAACGTCAACGCACTGTATCGGCACTGATGGGTCTGTTGTGAGTCCCAATGGTCTGACGTGCTGTTTCCGTCGCTCTGATGAAGCGATTCTGCAGATGGTGGCGCACAATCTGTCGGTCTTGACGTTGTGATGTTACTGAAGGTTGCCCACTGCGTGGACGGTCTTGGATGCTGTTAGTGACCTGATACCACTCCTGCAGTCGGTAGATTGTCCTAACATGAACATTAAAATGATTGGCAACCCTCGGTGCAGTCGGGACAACTTGCTATCGTCCCAAGACTTCGTTCCTCTGATCCCTCGTAAGTCGTGGCATGGTGATTGTTTCAAAACAAAAATGATTTCAGGCGAGTTTGGGACTCGCTTTCATTGGTAGATGCATGCATTTTCATTTTTCGGAACGTTTTACCATGTCTGCCTTTTTCGGTGTGTTTGGTCAATATGCTTTTTCATCAGAAAACACACTGATGTTGGTAATAACTGTCCAAAACATGTTAACAAAACGGTACAATCATAATAGAAACACCACCTTGTAAGAACACAATTTTGCAATTGGTTTTGAAAGGCGACGTTTCTTTTGTGGTTCAGTATATATCATTAAAAAAATGTACAATAGTAGTTTTAGGGGCTCGTTGTTAAAAAATTAAGTTTAATCAGTATGAGATTTAGAATTATTAGTAGTTCTGAAGTTGGATACAAATGTCTAAGTCCGGTCGCCGTAATATAGGAATGTGGCAAACAGAGGTAAAAAAGAAGTCGATTCTTTGATGAGCGAAAACACTTATAAGTTCAGACAATGTAATTGTGATGCGCATACATCAGACCCGACGTAAAACACTCTGCGGGGTCGACGTATTTTTCTCGTGTACAATATTAATGGTGTTTGAGTAGGCCCTAAACAGCAAAGTTGGTCGTCAGAGAATGGATCGGATGGTCCGACTCAGCGAAGTGGTCCGCTTCGTCGATCATGGCGTTGATCTTTACTCTTAGCAGTCAATGTAATTTTTCTGGTGAGAATAGATTTTTAAAAAAAATAAATGTTCGACCAGCTTTACAATAATTAACAGAAATAATAATAACGCGTATTTTTTTATTTTTGGATCAAACCAAATATCATAACTGGAAACAGTTTGATCGAATTTAGAACTACATGCACTCAACAGCATTACGTTTTCGGATATTCTGACCATTATCATACCTTCGGTTTTGTCATATGGGAATGATACTTATACCTGAGATTATGTACACATGTTACTTATGTAGTGCTATGGAATAAATCTATTTCTAATATTTTTATCTTTGACGTTTGTTATTTTGCGGGTTTGGTGTCGATTTTTGTTATCGATGATGTAGCGCGTGTGCGGAATTGATTGATGACAGAAAAGCTGTATTTCACTTACTTCAGTCAGATGAAAAATAAATCACATTCCATCAAATAATGTTTCGATTATGCCGTGTTATTCGCGAAATCAGTATTGATGTGTTTTTTGTATTAGTACTGAATTCTAGTACACGAACACTCTCACATTAAATAGGAGTTCGTCTACTGCCAGATGCCAACATACCTACGTACCTAGTTACCTACCTGACTACACGCACGCACGCATGCATGCATACATACAAATATATATATACAATGCCATACAAAAAGACAGGCACACACACATACAGACAGACAGACATACGTACATACAATGTCGAACAGACAGACAGACAAAAACAGACAGACAGACAGGCAGACTGACATTGATGCATTGATGGACTGAAGGTTGTATAAGTTGAACATGCTGCTTGTACGTGTAAAGGCGTGCGATTCAGATGCTACTTATTGCCTTCCGTTATCATCAAGCTGTCAACATCCAGCAGTTCCGTATCGTACGTCTCATCAGTGACACATTTTGATAGTAACAAACACCCATTTATATTGATTAGCCCCTGAAGCTGAGCAGTGCTTTATTTAGGGCTTTAGCACTGCAGAGAAACATAGGGAAATTAATGTGGTTATGACACATACGTCCTCACATATTATTAGCAGCAGTCATGGGTAACATAATAATACATCTTCATGAGAATGCTTTGGGGTTGTAATGAATTTGTATAGGTACATTTTCAGATCACTGTGAAATCGTCTGTCACTTGCAAACGGAACAAAAACAGTTTTCCTGGAATATATGTTTTAATATGTATGTATGTATGTATGTATGTATGTATGTATGTATGTATGTATGTATGTATGTATGTATGTATGTATGTATGTATGTATGTATGTATGTATGTATGTATGTATGTGTATGTATGTATGTATGTACGTACGTACGTAATATGGTTCTGGTCCCAAGGTAGGCACATTTGCGTAGTGTCCTTGGACAAGATGATTAAATCCACATTGTCTCAGTTCACCCAGCTATAAAATGCGTACCCTAGAAGATGTGCTGGCAATGTGAGTGATTAGTTCATTGCGCCTAACAGGCATCATGGCTGTATGATCCCCAGGGAGTTGAAAAAGTATCGGATAGTACGATGGTGTCCTATGACCGGGGATAGTAATGTACATAGCACCTTGAGCAGGTAATGTGCCTGGATATGAGCGCCATATAAGGGGACTATTACTATATGTATCATCATAAACTGTTCCACGGGAGATATTGCTTGTGTGAGATCAAACGATATCGTTTTGACAGTAAATTTTGTACAATACCCTGACATCATCATTTACATGACTCACAATGCTATGACGTCAAAAACCTGATGACGTCACAATGATATGGCATCGCTACACTGCAAGTCTAATGGCAGTACCGTGTTCAGAGGTGTACATTTTTCATTGAAAACTAATGAAGAGTGATGTTTTATGATAAATAGAATCTCACCCTTGTGTCTTCTGATATCAAATATATCAACACTCCTGGCAAGCATCGGATATTTGTAACTTCAATCAGCTCGTGTTGATATATTTGATATCAGAAGACACTTGGGTAAGATTCTCTATTTACGTCATAAAATCAGTGATGAGTCAGACGACAACGTGTAATATATTTCCAACTGATTTTAAGCACTCAATATGTGTTTGATAATGATACCAAATGGCATAGTCTGATAATAAGCTCTGAAGAATGGTGGCAAAATACAAACAAGAGTGCGAAGTGCTTCAATACTTGTCTCATAACTCCGTATGCTGGGCTATGTACGCAACAACAGAAGTTGGCGTCGCGGGTGTGTTAAATGATATCATTAAATTTGTACTATATAATCAGTCCTATCGATCTGGACCAAGAATGCTTTCTCTATTGTGTACTCTACTATCGAAGTAATTTTCCAGATCCTCGCCATTTCCTTTCAGACTCGATGGCCGACAGACCATATTGAAACGTAGTATGTACCTGGTACCTATCTTGCATTTTCATCTGTTGATGATGCCAAGGGATACTGCTTTTTGTCAGCTGGTCTGATCCTTCCGAGAAACTCTCGCGGTGTTTATGTGAATCAGCGTTTCAACTATTATTCAACAATGCTTGCCTATCATCTCATATTACATCTCAAGTCACCAAAAGACCAGGGCCTAGATTTTCGAAGCTCTCTTAGCGCTAAGATAGTCGTAAGCTAATGTTAATGTATGGCACTTACGACTATCTTAGCGTTAAGAGAGCTTCGAAAATCTAGGCCCAGCATTGCATGTAATGATCATTATACCTGGCTTGGCCTAGTTGCAAGTTGGATTAACTTCCTGACAGGTGCATATTACCAACATTTGTGTCCATTGCTATAATCACCGCTTTCGTATCATATTACTTCAGCGTTTGTACCGCCACTCGATGTTTTACTGCCATTAACTTATTAAGAATCCTATTTAGTATTTTAGAATACAGTTATTAATTGCATCACAAAGCTTAGTATTTGTTATGCTTTCATACACGGATCTGTCAGTTCAACTTGGGAATCAACATGCAACATGTGACGAACACAATCATCCGTCTTCGAATGTTGCAACACATCACCATGTTTACTGTATGCTAACACGGGCAGTATAGACA